AAAGGCAGGAATAACTACACACTAATGAAAGGCACGGAGTCGTAGGTAGGTTAGAATGGTAGGAATAACTACACACCAATGAAAGGCACGAATCAGACCGGCTCAAGTACCCCTTCAACCATCTACACACTAATGAAAGGCACCAATCAGACCGGCTCAAGTACCCCTTCAACCATTGTTCAGGTGCTTCGCCCCTCCATCTTTATTGGTGTGCCATAAAACTTAGTGGTCCGCACGGAATACCCCCCCAGGGAGGGGTTGGGACAAGGGGGGGGGGGGAGAATGTCAACTCTACAACAGAGCCAACAAAACACGAATTTCTTTCTCCGCACACAACAGAAAAAGCCTCAGCCTCGAGGGTCCACTAGCCCGTCCAGTTGACGGATGATGTCTCCAATTAACCGGCATTTTTTTTTTCAATGTATAATTTCGCCCGCATTAGCGCTTTTTAACACGATGATTACGTGACGGTACCCTACCCTCCAGCCATGAGCTTCCCACAGCGCTGTTTTTCGGCATCTGTAGGATTAGAACGATTCTCCGTCCACATTCACACAACCGGAATAATTAAGAAGACCCGATGAACAAGGACGGACATGAAATAAGAGCGAGCCGGGTGTGTGTGTGTGTGTGTGGGGTGGGGGGGGGGGGGGGACACTGAGATGTCTACTCCCCCCCCCCCCACTCCCTGTGAGTGTAGAGGTGCCCAGTGAGTATTTATCTGAATAATTCATTATATCCCCCCAAAATTATGCCTTATTTACTTTTCACTGTAGTTTTAGAAAGAGTTTTACGGCACTTGCGAAACAATAAGGTCATATAAGTGCCGAAAATTAGAGGTGTTACAAGAGAGTAAGAAACATAAAAAAGTAAGGAGGAGAGATAAAGACGATAGTTGTTTAATAGGAAAGAAGGAGCAACCCACACCAGAGCACCCGCCAACCACCCACCTTTTCACTCTGAATACTTAATGTCGTCAACAAGCTCAAAACTTACAAAAATTGAACTTCATTTCTTTTGATTGATTTACGTCACCGTTGACCCAATATGAAACACGTAATTCGGGTTCAAAACCACAGCCTCCGTCCCTCTCCTTGGACCCTTTGAAAAGTCAATGCCATCATGTTCACGGGGACATTTTACTATACAAAAACGTATATGTATGCAATGCACACTCGTTCCCTGTAGGTATGGTAATTTCTATTCATAATAATAATAACATTGAACAAATATCACAAGGCTTTGTTAATTAATGGATGAGTCATATACGGAGAATGCTCTCATTATGATCCTTGCCAGGCAGCCAAAGCCACATAGATAGACATAGAGCTTATAGAACATAGATAGACATAGAGTATATAGAACATAGATAGACATAGAGCTTATAGAACATAGACATATAACTTATAGATACAGAGCTTATAGAACATAGATAGACACAGAGCTTATAGAACATAGATAGACATAGAGCTTATAGAACATAGATAGACATAGAGCTTATAGAACATAGGCCAGGGCTTACTGTTGTGCAAGGTAATGAAATACGCTTGTTATGGTAATTTCATAGTGTATGTTTGAAAACTGGGTCTCAGGTTTCCCATGACATATTATGCAAATACAGGATTATCCAAGGCCGTGCCGTTAGCCCAGTCAGTCAGTCATTCAGCATCGCTCAGGCTAGACTATAGACTATCATGGTGCTGCAAGCCCGGGTTCGAATCGCTGGGGTGGAAGGGGGGGGGGGTTGTTGGTTCGAATAAATAGAAGCACACCCACACAATAACGGCCATTTAGTGCTGGGAAAAAGTAAGACAGACAGAAACAACAGAGGGAAAGTAAAAAAAGGGAAGACCTACCAGTACCAGTGACGCCCTACCTGCAGAAAGAAAAGGAGAGGGGGGTAGCGTGCGACAGACAGATCCTACTTCATTCCTTTCCCTCTTTTGTTTCTGTATATGGATTAGTCCTTCTCCAGGCACCAGATGACAGCTGTTGTGTGGACGTGCTTCACTTTACTTTCCATCCCGACTCTGATCCCCCAATGGGAGAGTTCTGAATCTGAATTCATTGTTCTAGGAAGTATTCTACGCCCTCCACCTACTTGTCAGCCCGTCTCCGATTATCTAAGAAAACGTTTCTCTCTTTCAAGACGCACCGGGCACTATATTAAGCCCGGTTACCAGCAGACCAAAGGCCATCTTGTATAGATTTAGTAAGAGTTTTACGGCACTTGCAACACAATACGGTCATAAAAGAGCCGAAGAATAGAGGTGTTACAAGAGAGTAACATACACAAAAAAGAAAGAGGGGAGATAAGGACGATAGATGTTTGATAGGAAAGAAGGAGCAAACCACACCAGAGCACCTGCCAACCACCCACAGGGCAATCTTGAAGCATATTTCGAATCATTATTCACAAATCAGAAACACGAATTTGTAATTATATCTTAAAGGATGCATGCTGTTACCGGCTTTTTATTTAAGTGTTAGATAAAGGAAACAAAAATTGACAGATCTGTAAGAATAACGGATTTACGCGTCTTAAAAAAACAAAAAAACAAGCGCAGTCCAATTGCCAGAATGCGGTCCTCAATAAGTTTTAACCCTATCCGTACTTCGTGTTTTACTATCGTATCCATACGAAGTGGGGAACTCTATGCCACCGCTTTCCAAAGTCTGTCAAAATGAATTTTTGGGAAATACTGAAATTTCAAAGAGATCTTCGCACTACAAGTATTCTAAAATGTGAAGAATACAACCCTGGGGGTACAAAATGACCCCAAGGCGTTCAGATATGGTTAAGTACATTTGCACATTTAAAATATCTCCTTCAGGTCTCTATTGAGTCCGGACATTCTACTAGATTGCATTTATATAGCGCTCTATCCCATACTACGAGTAGTATAAGCTCTGAACGCTTTCCACCAATCGCATGATCATTCACACAAGAGAAAATATTTCACAGAAGCAAGAAAAACCAGTTCAACCACATAAAGAAGAACTTTCACAACCATACATTAACTATGTACACAAAAGAAAGGACAGTTGAAAAAAATGAAATAAAATAAAAATGTATGTGTCTTTATAATAGTCAAATCGGTACATGTATCTCGTGGGACACTAGTTGGACAACGCCATGAGGACAGACACGACGACACGACCGACAGATCCACACGACAAAGTGTCCGAGGCGGGTGTGAGATTTGCTCTTTTGTTGACACTTGGGATAAGGGACTGACTGATTTCAAGGAGTCCGGATTGAAGAGGTTGGTTTTGCGGGGTGGGGAGGGGGGAGGTAGGTTTGGGG